TCGGTGGGTATCATTCGACGAACCGGACGAACTGTCTGTTCGAAGCCACAGGACAACATATTGATTTCCTTCGTGGACTGGACACTGGCCATTATCGATCCGTTAAAAAGTTCAGGGCTGTCTCCTGAGCCTCTATGTCCTTTGCAAAATGCGATTTACGAACAACTCTTACAATCTGCGACACTCATATTATTTTTTATTGAGTCACACTTTATGTTACATTCATTTGTCATTTATAATTGATGCAATTGAAATTGATGGAGTAATTGAATTGTTGCAAATTAACGAATGTTAATAATTAATAATTAATAATTAATAATTATTGCTACTTATAGTTCATTTGTCTCAATTCTGTTATTTCCTTAATTTTAACTTCATTTGTGAATTTTTTACATATATTACTTATGTATTTTTACATAAATTATTTTAGGAATTATTTTTCCATACTAATGAAATTTTTGTTATAGTTTCAATTTTTATTAGAATTATACTTATATGTATTAGGAAATGAATTATGAGCAACATTAAAAAAATTACAGGGTTTTAATACATAAAATACATGTTTGCATCGTTGCAATAATGAATGCAATTATTAAAAAAAAAAAAATGTTGCACCGGCGGGATTTGAACTCGGGACAAAAAACTTGAAGTCTACTGCGTTTGCTACTACGCTACAAGTTCATTAAAAATAGTTCGTCTTGTGTTACTGTAATGAACTACATATATAATTTTAAACATTTTATTAAGAATATTTGTTAAGAATATTTTTCTCATTATTACCTATTAACGACAATTATATAATTTTCAATATATTTAATGTACATATACATTCATCATTCTGATCAAGTTGCACTAAAATCAAAGAGGACCTACATCTCTAGCAAACCTACTTACCATACAATTTTATAATAACTTACTACTACAATTTATATAGTAGACAATTTTTATTTATCCAAAAAATTTAATGCTTCTCTAAAAAGTTTCTACAGCATATAAAAATGTATAGCATATGAATTGCAATATCAAGGTCGGGTCAAAGAGGGTTCGATTCGGCAAATTGGAGAACATGCGACAGAGAATCGAGTCGGGGCGCCGAGTTTCATTTGCCTTTTTTTCCTTTTATCATCGATTCTACGCCACGAAAGAGAAAAAGAGAGAAAAGAGATAGAGACAGAAGGATTACCGTGAAATGATCACTTTTCTTTTTTTTCTTTTATACGCCTGTGGATTTTAGGTACTAACGTTGGTGTTAGGTAATCGTGTGTCGTGTGCCGAGAAGTATCTTTATATTTGTGAAGTTACCTACAATACACGTTTGTTATTGGTTTGCTGTTGTTTTGCCGACACGTTGAGAGGAGTTTTTTTTTTATTTTCCTTGGATTTGTTGCGCATTTTTTTGTCACGCCTTTAGTGATACCACACCGTCACCGTTTTCCCACCGTCTTGCTCTCCGTTGTCCACCTTGTTTCTTTCCTTTCTTTATTAGTCATACAATTTATACACGAACATTGATATAGAGGGTGTTTCACAACTAGTGTAGATCTCATAATTAGATCCTCGAAATGGGGGGTAGATGACGCGATTCTGAATAAGATTTCTCTTTGCAGAAATGGAGTTTGAAGCTTCGTTTTTGAATTATTAAGGATTAACACTTGGGTGGAGAATTAATTTATTCTTCTCCACTTTTATTTTCTAAATTTTAAAACTTTATTTTTTGTTAAACTTTGTCCTTGTCTTCTTTTTACGACAGTTATTTGACTTAATTTTGAGGTAATGGCTTTCTGTTAGTAATTACATTGTTACGGTGCAAATATACTTGTTCACGATTATGCCAGGCTCGAACCCATCACTCTCGCATCTGGGCGCGCGTAATCCTCACACTCTGATTGGTCGGTGTTTTTCCTTAATAATTCAAAAACGAAGCTTCATACCCCATTTTCGCAAAGGAAGATCTTATTCAGAATCTCGTCAGCTATCCACCATTTCAGAGATCTAATTAATCGTGAGATCTACACTAGTTGTGAGACACCCTGTATAGTTTAGAAGATTTATTGGTACTATTGTAATTGAGAACGTGGATTATAGACACTTATGTTGGTTATTCAAAAGAAAGTCGATCATTTTAGGTAAAACGGGTGTTATGTAATCGATTCGAGATGTAGAATGGTAGGGAATTTATGAATTTGCAAATTTTCGAGTTGTAAGTTGAATAGTTTTGTATTTTCAGATGTAGAGATTTAGTGATTTGAAAATTTGATGATTTGGAAGTTTGAGGGTTTGAAATTTGGAAATTTGGAAATTTGGAAATTTGGAAATTTGGAAATTTGGAAATTTAGAAATTTAGAATTGGAAATTTAGAAATTTGGAAACTTAGAAACTTTGAAATTTGGAAATTTGAAAATTTAGAGATTTGAAAATTTAGAAGTTTGGAAATTTGGAAATTTGAAAATTTGGAAAAGTGGAAATTTGGAAATTTGGAAGTTTGGAAATTTGGAAATTTAGAAATTTGGGAATTTGGAAATTTGAAAATTTGGAAAAGTGGAAATTTGAAAATTTAGAAGTTTAGAAATTTAGAAAACTAAAATGTTAGAAATCAGGAAACTTAGAAATTCAGAAATTTAGAAATCTAAGCAGCTGTAAATTCAAAAATTCGAAAATTTCACCACTTGAGAATTCAAAGCTCCAAAAATCTATATAAAAATTTAGAAATTCCAAAACTTGATAAAACAAAAATACAAAAATTCATAAATTCGTGTACCTAAAGGCTAACAACCCTAAAATGCAGAATTTCCAAATTTCCCCCCAATAATCTACAAACGAATCTGAAAATATAAATTACTTGAAACAATAAATTACAACTTGTTGAATACGTAAACAAAGTTGTATAAACATTGCGTAATAAATAACAGTTAAATGTTGAAACACACATATAGACCGAAGTTAATATACATTGCTCAGAGGTCTAATTTTTTCTAAGCCATATATATATTTACCCCGCATCTATTTCTTTTGGAACCGTGCCCGCTTAATGTATTTTCAGCTTCATGGTGTAATGGGATATCACCTGATCCCGCTATATCCTCGTCTATCATTTTTCAAAGCACAGACAAAACATCACGATTCTCCGAATAATAGCCGACATTTGTATAATCCACGTTCTATTGTATTTTGCTAATGACTCACGTGACATTTAAATGTTGGAGTAAATCCGATTCAGATGCCACACGATTGCATTATTAATTCAGTCGCACAAACGATCATTGATATACTTGTAATACAAGCTGTCCGATAAATTCCGTTTGTTCTTCGCTGATTCCGACAGCTTTTTGGCACACTTGTGATTTCAGAATCGCGAAAAACATGTGTGAAGTCACGTGCTGATAGTATCAAGTATTTTAATATTATCGATGAAGGTTAACTGTAACAAATTCGCTGTTTTTATTATAATTACACACTCCTTTCATTTCTCCTCTCCTTTCTCCTCGAGTTCTTAATAACTGCACCGGGAGATATGTACTGTTAAAGCTTCCGGAGTCCATCAAATTTCATTGATCAATTTTGTTCAAGTTTGGTATCAAGAAACTTGGTGGACCTTAGGTTACTTTGAAAAGCAGGTGTGATATGTAGATATCTTGGTGGACTACATTTTTAGAAATATTTCTATTTTGACATCGATTTTTAACTATATTATATATAATATATGCAAGGTTATATTCATTTACATAATTTTATGATTTATCCCATGCTGGTCTTCGAAATTCATCAAATACTTTTGAGGTTAGAAAGTATCTTTGATTAGGAAATTAGTGTACTTTCGAGGTTTTTGAAATTTAAAAATATTGAGGTTAGGAAATATTGCTAATGTACTTTTAAGGTTAGAGAATTTTTGAAATTTAAAATTTGATAAAATCGTATAGTACAAATTTTTAATATATCCTACAAAATATAATATGGACAGTGTCGTTGCTTTACATTGATTATGGTACAACTCAATATATTTCAAATTTTTTGTATGGGATACAAGATTACATTGTTTTATATTTTTTTAGCAAAATGATATATTTGTAATAAAATCTTAAGTATATATTACAATTATTTTGTTATAAATTAATAGTATAATAATTTATTAACTTATATATATAATTATTAATTATTAATTATTATGTACAATTAACAATTTACAATGTACATAGTAAATATTACAGTAATATTAATTACTATGTGCAATAATAATTTGCATTTCACTCATTGCTAATTAATACACGTAATAATTCGTAAACCATGAATTATTTATTACTATATATGTTTAATAATTCGAAATTTATATATAATTCATAATTAAATTATTAATTATATTATACTTGATTACGTCGCACTAATTGTACTATACTTAATAAATGATAAATTATTAATCATAACATACTCAATTACATTGCACTATTTACACTATAATCAATTACAAATTATCAATAACATCGTCCTTTATTAATAATCAATTATTACTCACAATTACCAATTTACAACATACTAATTATTAATCATCAATAATAACAATAATTCTCTACTAATAATTACAAACACCATCTGGGCCAATGATCATAACAGTCGAGGCCCATATAAAATCAATAAATCAATGAATCAATGAATCAATGAATCAATGAATCAATGAATCAATGAATCAATCAATCAATGAATCAATCAATCAATCAATCAATCAATCAATCAATCAATCAATCAATCAATCAATCAACAAACACCATCAACATCTTAAACAAATTAATAATAATTAATAACAACACACTAATCATAAATTTAAGAAGACCTAAAAAATGAAATATACTGAGTGCCACCATCATCAATGCTACCGCACGAACTACAACGCTGCTCTTTTCATAGTCCACCAGGATATACCGATATTATTCGTAATTAGATGTACGAGTGGTATCCCCATCGTTTCGAAACGTTGAAACATAGTGACCGTTGTATAATTTTCATTACAGGGTGCCACCGGGTTACGTGTACCAGTCGCCATATTTGGCGGCTGCGGCGCCAGGTGGTTTGGTTCCGCTTCCGGCCACGCAGTTGACTCACGCGGCCGCGATGGCAGCAGCGTCCCAATTCTACGAGTATCAAAATGTCGCCGCAGCGGCGGCCAGTTATCCAGGGACCTCGTACAATTTCGCCGAGGCTTATCCTTATACCAGCGCCGCCGCGGCTGGTATGTGTTTGAAAAGTGTCCAGAGCAAGGACAGCAACGGGCTGATACACCACCACCAGCAGCACACCGGTAGCAGCCCTGCGGTGCTGGCACAACAACGATTGGAGAAAGCTCTCTTGCCACCCTTTCTGCCGTCCGTGCTACGTAGCAACGGTAGAAAATTACTAGAAAACACAAACGCACCGGAACAATCAGATAACGAGTGCACGTTTCTATGAACGGGACTGGACATGCGAGCATCGCGCAGGGAAAATTTGGGGTTCGTTGGGAAAATATGGCAATGGAGGGGAATGGGTGTCGCGGTTTGCTGAATTGGGACTTTGGAGGATTTAAGGATTTGGGGATTATAGGAATTTGAGCTATGGGGTTTGGGGACTTAGGGAGATGGGAATGTAGGTGGTTGGTACTCTGGGAATTTGGGGCGTTAGGGAGCTGGGAATGTAGGAGGTAGACACTTTGGGAATTTGGAGATGTGGAATTTTGCGGATGTGTGGATATGGGAACGTAGGAAATTAGGGAAATTGGTGGTTGGAGGTTTATGGATATGGCAATTTGGGTATTTGGTGATTTTGGAATTTGGGGATGTGGAAGTTTCAAGGTGTAGAGTTAGGGGTGTAGGTATTTGTAAAGATTGGAATTAGGGGATATAGCAATTTGGAGACGTAGTGATTTGGGGATGTACCAATGTGGGGATATAGGAATTTGGGGACCTAGGAACTTAGGGATATGGGTATTTGTAAAGCTTGGTATTAGGGAATGTAGGAATTGGGGGACCAAGGAACTTAAGGATACAGGAATTAGTGAAGCTTGGAATTAGAGAATGTAGGAATGTGGGGTCCTAGGAATTTACAATTCTAGAAATTTGGGGATGTGCAGGTCTTGGAACTGGAAAGTCAAGAAATTTTATATGTCCACCTTAAATATCTGTGTCTTAAGTCGAGCTACGTTTTGAATGTCCAGATCTGTTTATAGGAGCGTGGAATGGAGAGTGAAAGCGAGAGAAAGAGGGAATGATATTCATGTTCGACTTACATTTTCGTAGTTGAGTAGTTCGTAGCAGCGATTCTTGCAACATTCCCACTACTTTGTTTTTATGAAGAAATTCGACAGATTTTATAATCTTTTTTTAGTATATTGACTGAGTATTATTTTACAAGTTTTATAATTATATTTCCAAATTTGCAAATTCTCTAATTTTTTAGATTTTAAAAATTTAATAGATTTTTAAATTTATTAGAAATTAATTAGATTTTAAAATTAAAAATTAAAGGAATTCTACATTTCTAAATTATGTAAAATATTTCTATGTGCAACAAACTATATGCAGTTGAATGCCATTTTCTTAGGGAGTTTCAAGATGGTCGAAATATTTTCGAAAGTATACTCACACATTCTAATTATTTTGCACGGGTGAAACTTTTGGTGGGAATCTCGCTAAGATTTTTTCTGCTAATTTTACCTAGTTGTGTTGTCGATTATTCATATTTTATTGCTACTCATCAGTAATATCCTGAAGAATTAATTGAATATAGTAATTCAAAATGACTATATTCAATAAATGTAGTAATTTTATAATATTCCAATATAATCGATATTTATCAATGACAACACTTCTAGAATTACCTGTCGCTTGTTCAGAATGAGTTAGAGCATATGTTTTGTATAATTGATTTGACAGACTGGTCTTGTTTGCACTTAGCAGGAGAACTTTCTGCAGTTCGTTTCCTTTTCAAGTTTCTATGAGATGACACTTTTTATCTGAGCAGTATAATGATCACACAAGGAATGCTTGATAATGATTTCTTTGATTTGCGCTGGAATGTTTCGCTGCCGGTACAACAGATACCTACATTATCACACGATAAAAAAAATAATAATAAAGAACCCGACGATGGAGATGCAATATTGCATGCTTACGCTGGCTTTGCATTCGATACCATTCAACGTGCAAATTATTTTGTTAATTGCTCTGATGTGCTGTCTACGGTGGTGGTGGGAACAAATGTCACGGTGGATGACAGTAGTCGATAAGCTTTACTACGCAATGATTGTATGTATTTTGCCAAATTGAACAAAATATTAATTACATGATTAATACGTAATTTTAATAAGATACAAATTACACGATGTATTAAAAAAACAATTTTGGCAGACATTTTGTGTCACTGAGTAACTCAAGGTTGAAACTAAAATATGAATTACATTTTCAAATTTCTCAAACATTGTATTAAAATTAATTTATTAATCAATCAATCAATTAGTTAGATAATCAATCGATCAATAAATCAGTCAAATAATCAATCAATAAATCAATCAATAAATCAGTCAATAAATCAGTCAATAAATCAGTTAATAAATCAATCAATAAATCAATCAATAAGTCAATCAATAAGTCAATGAATAAATCAATCAATAAGTCAATCAATAAATCAATCAACAAATCAATGAATAAATCAATCAATAAGTCAATGAATAAATCAATGAATAAATCAATCAATCAATAAATCATTCAGACAATCAAGCAATCAATAAATTAATCAATCAATCAGTCAGATAATCAATCTATCAATGAGTCAGACAATCAATTAATCAATTACTCAATCGATCGATCGACTGATCAATCAATCACTTAATCTATTAATTAATAATAAATAGTAAGCATTAACACCAATAAATGACAATTAATTTTTTACCTAAAAATTAATTATCAGGTATCTAATTGTATAAAATTGTCCTATCAAAAATTTCTAAATTTCTTGCATAAAAAAAATATTAAATTATTAATTTGATGTAAAGATATTATAAGTATCGTAAAATTGTTGCAACCTTGATCTACCTCAGTAGCACCAAAATTAACGAAAAATGAAATACAGTAGCCTGACAGTGCTAAGTAGCAGAAAATCAATTTAATTATTCTCTTTGTGCAGCGAACGCAGCAGCAGCAAGTTACGTGACACCATACACGTATGCAACGCTACCAGGTGCTGCAGGATTGCCAGCAGCAGCAGCTGCAGCTGCAACGGCAGCGGGTGCAGCCTTCCCTGGACTCCCGTATCAAACGACACCTCAAGAAGCAAGATTACAATAGAGACTATGACCAGTCACAGACAAGAGATCGGCACCATCGAATCCGCGACGCGATACACCATTCACGCCGTACAAATTTCAGCCGTCACCTGGTTACCTGCGTCGAGATCCATCTTTATTCTTGTCTCGTTCAGGCATTATTCGGTGTGATTGCACGGGGGTGCCATTTTGTTTCGACCGTTGGGAGCCGAAGCTCCACGTTTTCACGAGTTAATTATAGGAACGGCGCGTAAAAAGAGGGACACAGAGGGAAATTTCGTGGCGACTAGCGCCACTGCGAGACGCAGTAAACTCTTATTCGCGAATTTTATACGAACTGGGCTCGTAGAGTAATCCAAAATGACGGTAACAGTATCCTTTATTCGTGTTTAGTCGCACTTTAACGCGACTAATTGATCTACGCTTCGTTTCGACGCTTTCTATGCGGTTTGTAATATTACCCACTCGGGACCGAAGCGATAACTCGTAAAATATAAAAGATACAGAAAAATGTTTCTAACGAAAATTCAACAGTAAAATAAATGCTACAAGACTGTGTAAACGAAATTAAAAAAAAAAATTTCTGAAGGTTATTTTTCGAAGGGAAAAACTTTTTTCAAATTTCTGTTAACGTAGGCTTGTAGTAGTTGCTGTGTTATGTAACTTATGTTTGAAACGTTTTTTTATATTTTCTATATCTTAGGAATTATGCTCGACGTAAGTGCTCATTTCGAGGGATACAGTTATTTCAGCAATGAAATACTCTATGAACTAATAAAGTTTAGTAGGAAGAAGTCGATAAGGGTTTACGGTGTAGAGAGGATCGATTCGCAATTTCTTGCTAACATAATCTTAAATCTCCTCCACTTTGTAATCTTCCTTTCCACGTTCTCCTTTATATAGGGCCAAACTTGGCACGCCTAGGCCAACGTACTTCGAGATACAAGACGAATACGTAATGTCGTTAGCGTTATGATTATTTATAATTGAACGGAGCATGATGGGCAATAGAGGCTTTCAAGAGACGCGCGAACATTTTACGAACGCTGGATTCCTTGCGATTAACATTCAAGTTTACAGTTTGTTAGGTGTCGAAGTTCGTTAGAGCGAAACGAATGTATCGAGGCAAATTGGAAAATTGATCCGTATTCAGAATTGATACTGCTACTTGTATATACAGGGTGATTCAAAAGTCGCTATGTACTCAATAACACAATATATTTCACACAAAAAATCTGCTGTAATAAATAAAAAGTGTTCTCCTATGAGACATGCTTCCACATATTTGATATTCGCATAGTGACTTTTGAATCACCCTGTATAGCTGACAAAATTATAACTTCTTTGTAATCTTCCAAATCGTAAAATCCGTTGAAATGTGACACTGGATATCACTTCTGAATATTGGTCGAAGGATGTGAACGTTTTACGAATGTGATATACAGGGTGTTTCAGTTTTTTATGTACGAATGTTTTGTACGTGCAGCTGAGACAAAAATTAGAAAAATAAAACGAAACGGTGTTTTAGCCTGATTGGTATAATTTGTCTTTAAAAAAATATTTAATCTGATACTCCATTTTTATTCTTTAGAATTACAATCTGAAACACTCTGTATGATCTAGAGTTTGTTCCATTTCGTTAAAAACAATCTGTTCCTAATTTCTATGCGTTTTTCATATGCAATATAGAAAAATAAAACGAAAGGTGAACAACAAATATTCGAGGTGATTTAAAATTGAGGTTATAGGACCATTTAATGAAAAAAGGGACGTTAAGAAATTGTAAGTAAATAGAGATCGCGTTTGAATTAAACCGACGTTGCCTTAGAATATCGTACAGTATCGAGACAGATTTCCCTAGGGAAAATGGCGATATAGGAAAAGTTTTTACAACACGTTATATAATGCTTAGTGCATTATATAATAACAGTAATATCTCATTGTATAATAAAATCTCGATATTTTCCCGCGCCAGGGGCTTTAGGGGCGTAACAGGGAATTACGAAGGGGATTTTATCCAGCAGGACAATATCGAGATTTTATTATATACCGACATATTTCTGTACTTCAAACGGATTTTTTTTCTAGTAAATTTGTAGACTTTTCCAATATCACTACTTTCTTCTGGGGAATCTCACCATACTGTACGAGCGAAATTATCTAGTGTCTTAATGATGCCTTTCTTGCGTGATTTATAGACATTATTTAAACGAACTGATCAGCGTATCGTAGTATGAATGTAACGAGGACCAACGGACGAACGAATCGATATTATTAAATCGAGTATTAACAAATTGAACGACAAATCAAATGTTGACACTTACGGCACAAACATTATGCACAATTACCACAAATTTTTGCGATTATGGATAAATGTAATTGTTTCGTTTTCTTTTTTCCTTTGGTGAAATTCGTTGAGAATTTTTAAACGAGCTTTGTAAATTTTATTTACGGTTTAACATTGTTCAATTGACGCTACTAATGCATTAGTAGAAATTAATTATAGTTCCTTATCAAGGCTGTAGTAATACTAAAAAAACTTCATTTGACAACTGATAACTTATTTACACGTTGACCGCCATAGTGAAAATAGTTACTTCTAGTGACATATGCAAAAATTATATTTAATGCTATTTTGAGAGTTACTTTGTGAAATTTTTGGCTTTTACAACTTTAAGTCAAAATTGACACGGTGACTCTCATTATATTGCAAATGATTGCAGATAGGGACGATTTTTGAAAACGGCAATATACTGAATGGACTGAGAAGTGTCTTTTAATATTGCAGTGATTTAGGTAGAGGATTATTGCAGATCTGGGTAGTTCACTATGGTGAAAGACGCCATTGGTGTGTGTACTAAGAATGGCAATATAGCGAGAGTCTACCACATCTCCATGATACTTAATTTATTCCCATTACATAATTATTAATTTTTAAATTAAAATTATTATTCGATGGAATTAGTCAAAATAATACGATCGTTTTTAAAATACAGTAAACTCTCGTTATATTGTCACTTGTGTAAAAACATCACGCACTAGCAATACTACCTGACTATCGCAATCTAATTAATTTAATTGATTCTCAATATATTGCCAATTTTAAGAATTTGTCCTGTCTACAATGTAATATGCAATATAACGAGAGTCCACTGTATAAAGCGAAAGAATATTAAGATTATTAATACTCAAATTGCAGATGTAAATCTAAAATTTTGTTGTCACATTACTATGTCAATGGCGATACTGAATTTCTTTTATTTTGTTTTATTGCATAAGATGCAATATGGCAGTCAACTTGTTAACAACGCGTGTGTTAATCAGATCGGACTCTGATATAGACGTTTAACACGTTACGTTTACACAAATAGACGCACACAGTTCGTAAGGTTGTTTAAGTTACAGGTTCGGTTAAATTTAGAAATTCATACCAAAACATTGCCAAACACGTCTCTTTATAATGTATTCTAAATACGGATCGATTCCATAAATTACTAACACGCACGCAAATTAAATGTTATCTAGCGGCCCGAGGAATCTTGCGATGCAAACAATTCGTTCGTCCATTTTTACAAGTGATCCGGTGCCTTAATTAGCACGATCGAATAGTCTTTAATGGTTAAGAAACTAGTCAGCGATTCGTTAGCGCGATGCTACTCGCTAACACGTGTACAGGGGTGAAACTAAAAAAAAAGAATGAAAAAAAAACGAAGAAAAAAATGCGACGAGACAGAAAATGAAAAGGGATAACTAACTAGCAAGGGATGATCAGTGATGGGCACATGTGCCCGCGGGCAGTAACGAGGCTCGAACATTTTCTCTCGTTGTAGAGATTTGAAACTTTTATACTTGAACAAATTTAGAAATGTGGATATAGAAATGTTAAGTTTGCAAACTTGTGGATTTGAGAATTTGGAATGTTAATTTTCAAAATTTCGATACACAAAAGTGAATTTTTTAATTTTGAGGTTATCAAGTTTATTACAAATGATCAAGTATATTTGATGATTTGGTAATTTTGTAATTTTAGGAATTTAGCAATTTGATAATTTTATAGTTTATCAAATTGGTAAATTGGTAAATTGGTAAATTGGTAAATTGGTAAATTGGTAAATTGATAAATTGATAAATTGATAAATTGATAAATTGATAAATTGACAATTTGACAATTTGACAATTTAACAATTTGACAATTTGACAAATTGATAAATTGATAGTTTTATAACTTAAAATATTAATAGTTTGTTATCTTAATAATTGATAACTTTTTTTAAGTGATAAATTTTGATAACTTGATAACTGAAATAAAAAAATGAATTAACTTAACAAATTTTTAATTCTCAAAAAATTAAAAAATTCCTAAATTCTTAAATGCAGAAATTTCAATATCCACATAATCAATATAAAATATATTAAAACAGTAAAATTTATTGTTCACTAGTGCCCACAAATACATTATGTACACGTTGCTGCCCTGTGGGCGTTTGTCGCTCATCACCGAGTTAGACGAAGGATCAGGCTATGAAGAACGAGTCTGTCTAGTCTTAAATCCTTCGAATACGTAGATGGAGGTTAACTCGGTTCATTAGGATGTTAAGTTAGGCGTTAATGCGAATAAAGAAGCAGAGAAGAGAAACCAAAAGTCTTGTAAAAAGTTAGCGAAGGAGATGCTGTTAGGAAGGCTTAATGTTAAGTATTAATTATTACATAATCGTTTAAATAAGATAATAGGAAAATAAATTAATGCTATTGATATATTATTATTATTTTACTATTTTATTATTATTATTATTATTATTATTACTTATGAATAATTATTACTATTGATATTGATAATATTATTGTCATTATTGATTATTCATTATTATTGTTCATGTACTTAAATAAAGCGACGAGAACACGTGATCGGTCGAATTTATTAGGAAACAAGAAAATTTCACGTCGCACTGAAAAACAAATTGATAAATCCGAAAAATCGCGAAGAAAATTTTTTCGTAGGTTAACCTAAGAACCTTTCGAATATTCTACACTCTTAGGATTAACGGTTGTAATATATCGTCTGTTATCTTGAATAATATTAATTATATATTATTATACATCCTATCGATAGGTTTACGAGAGGAAACGGAAATATGTATATTGTCTCTGAGAGAAATAAAAGAACGTGTCTTGATCTTACGAACGATAGATCGCGACTGCTGTTGTCTGTTGCTTTCGCACACTTGAACTACTCGCGAGACGACGAAACACAAAACTTTGATTACCGAAAATTAGCGGAGAAAAGAAAAGAGGAAATAAAGTCTTAATTTTCAGACAATTGTGTTGCTTTTAATTGTGTGTTGATACCCCTTCCATTCTTCTGTATAGTTTTTTTTATAGAGTTTGTGATATTAACAATTGTCACAATTGGCAGTTTTGTTTAGCATTTTATTTTGGTAAGATGGAACATCTGTGGAAAATTGGGAAAATTTGGTGTTTTTAATATTCAGTGATTTATGGAGGTGGTACCTAGGGAATTTTGTAATTGGAAAATTTTGAAATTTTGGAATTTTTATATTTAGTTAGTTGTGCAATTAGTATCTTGTATATTTGGTGATGTGAAAATATAGAAATTTGGTAATTTGGAAATTTGAGAATTTTAATATTTAGTAATTTAGTAAATTGGTACCTTGTAAACTTGGTAATTGCAAATTTGGAAATTTGGGAATTTTCAAATTTAGCAATTTAGGAAATTAAGTAAGGAATTTTGCAATTTGGAAATTTGAGAAATTTAATATTTAGTATTTTAGTAAATTGGTAACTTGTGAACTTGGTAATTGCAAATTTGGAAATTTGGGAATTTTTAAATTTAGCAATTTAGGAAATTAAGTAAGGAATTTTGCAATTTGGAAATTTGAGAAATTTAATATTTAGTATTTTAGTAAATTGGCAACTTGTGAACTTGGCAATTGCAAATTTGGAAATTTGTGAATTTTTAAATTTAGCAATTTACAAAATTAACTAAGAAATTTTGCAATTTGAAAATTTGAGGATTTTAATATTTAGTAAATTGGTAATTTATGAAATTGGTGATTGGATGTGAATTTTGGTAATTTAGCACCCCCATTTAAATCTATAATTAAATTTAGGAAATTAAGTAAGAAATTTTGCAATGTGAAAATTTGAGAAATCTAATATTTAGTATTTTAGTAAATTGGCAACTTGTGAACTTGGCAATTGCAAATTTGGAAATTTGTGAATTTTTAAATTTAGCAATTTACAAAATTAACTAAGAAATTTTGCAATTTGAAAATTTGAGGATTTTAATATTTAGTAAATTGGTAATTTATGAAATTGGTGATTGGATGTGAATTTTGGTAATTTAGCACCCCCATTTAAATCTATAATTAACACATGAGAAAATAAAAATTGGACCCCCGAAGAATTTACTGAAATTCACTAAAATAACTTAAAAAACGACTAAAATATATTTCACAACATTCACAAAAAAAATAAAATATTAACTTAGTTAAGACTGCAACCACCGTTAGAGTTTCATACCTCAGAAACCAGGTCGCTCGAAGGATCGTGACCGAAGCAACCAAGATGTCAGCACCGGCGCTTCATTGATAACGCTCGTACTGAATGACGGTCCGCTTATCATTCGTTTTGATAGAGAAATAGTAGGGGAGCATTGCCATTGACACAAGAGCGAGGCTCAGTTATCCCGCGTTTATTCGCGTAAACTGGAGCGCTCGTAGCGCTTAGTGATTTTTCAGTTTGCTAGAGGGAGGTCACGAGCAAGGAACGACCCAAGGATCGCGATCCATCAAGGACTCGCGACCTGGAAGTCCTTCCTGTGTCCATGCAGAGGCACGTGGTCAAAGGTCAAGGTGAGACCAATATAATTCTCGTATGCTTTCGCTTCCTCCTCCTACGTTACTTCTCCAGCCCATTCTAATTATGTATTAACGTTTCTCTTTGAATTGCTTCTTTTATTAGGGAAATTTTCTTGCGCGATGGCAATTGTATCGAATGTTACGAATGGTTACTTCATTTCTTATTGATTGGGAGGAAATTGTCTTTGGATAAATTGTGGGTGGGTATCTTGAGGAACACTTTCAAATTGTGGAGAATGTTGGTTACTTTGTTGTTAATTATTGGGAGACTGTGGTTTTTAGAAGGTAGATTTTGTAGGTGGGAAGAATATATGTGGAGTGCTGTTATAAAATCATAGACAGTGTTAGTTGGTTATTTTATTATTAATTACTGGGAGAATTGTGGACTTTGGAAGGTAAATTTTGTAGGTGACAAGTACCTGGAGTGCTATTTTAAAATAGACAATCTCATCTTCCAAATATATTGTCATTTCTGCAAGATCAAATGTAGTAGGTGAGAATTATCTTGAGTGCCATTTTAAAATTATAGACAGTGTCATCTCCCAAGTATATTGTCATCCCTGAAAGACTGTCTGTCATCTCTCAAATTTTATATGTGAGAAGTATCTTGAGTACCATTTTAAAATATTAGGCAGTGACATTTTCGAGAGATCAAATTTTATGCACGAGAAATATGTAGAGCATTTTAAGATCATAAAATTCATTATTATGATTTTGTTATTGCATGGAAGACATTGTTATTGTTTGAACGTTGATTGTTTAAGTTGTTTGAAAGATCAATCTTTGCAGATGGAAAATGTCTGGAGTGCCGTTTTAAAATCACAGACAGTTTTCGTTGATTATTTTGATTTCTATTTTATCATTGATTATTCAGTAATATATTATCATTTATTTATGTCATTTTTTATTGTTATTTAACTGTTGGTACATTTAATAAACTGCTTTTGTGATGTTTAATTTATTGTACATGTCTTACAATTACATAGTACGTTTATGGGAAATAGGTATAATTTTAAATAATTTAAAAAAATGTTGAATTTATATAAAAATTCATACGTATTCGAGAAATTGAAGATCAGTGTTAATACGATAGAAATAAGTAGAAAGTGGAACAATAACGGGAGATAAATGTTATTTGAGATAAGAGGCTGTGTTGTTGATTGAAAGCTGAATATGAAAATGCGAAAAAGATCGGACTGTGCATAATTTTAAACTCTTCTATAGTATACTTTTAATACTCAATAAAAGAGTACAACTGATATCAATTTTTAAATTTTCAGTATCACTTGATATTTCTGTAAGTTTTTTAATAAAAAATGAACTAATGAATTAATGAATTTTCACAGAAAAAGAAACGAAAATATTATTAATATAAACTATAAACAATTATTCATTAGACATGTGGCAATTATTTATATTATTTGTTCTAATGGTTGATTATGAAGGTTGAAGTAAAAATTGAATTGTAAATTGTTTTTGTACTCAGTAGCACATTGTCTGTGATAATTATTTCTTTTGTTTGTTATGTATTTTATGACACATTGGAGAGATGGTTTATACATATAGTAATTGATTTTGATTAGATTAGATACATTGAAGGAGTTGTGTGAAGTATGTAGAGTACTACAATTTTGTTGTCTGGGGTTTTGTTGTTTGACAAATTACGAAAGGAGAAGTTCAGGAGCTACTTCAGTAATTATTTATTGTTAACTTTCAAATCCCCATATTTCCTATTTTCAAATTCTCAAATTCCCAAATTTATAATTTTCCAATTTTCCAAATTCTCAAATTCCCAAATTCTCAAATTCCCAAATTTCCAAATTCCCAAATTCCCAAATTCCCAAATTCCCAATTTTCCAATTTTCCAATTTTCCAATTTTCCAATTTTCCAATTTTTCAATTTTTCAATTATCCAAATTTTCAAATTCCCAAATTCCCAATTTTCCAATTATCCAAATTTTCAAATTCCCAAATTCCCAAATTCCCAATTTTCCAATTATCCAAATTTTTTAATTCCCAAATTCCTAATTTTTCAATTATTCAAATTCTCAAATTCTCAAATTCTCAAATTCTCAAATTCTCAAATTCCCAAATTCCGAAATTCCCAATTTTCCAATTATTCAAATTCTCAAATTCTCAAATTTCCAAATTTCTAAATTTCTCTAATTCCCAAATTTCCAAATTCCCAACTCCCCAAAATTCAAAAAATCCAATATTTCTAGAATCCCCAGTTCTCCATGATTTCCGTACATTTCCACGCTTTTCCGTATCATGCAATTCATTGTTTATAATAAACAATTATCATTAACTGTTATATCACCCATTAAGTCACTTTATTTTGCTTTGTCATTAATATTAATCTTTCGCATTGCGCACGTACTCGTGCATAAAGACACTGTCTCAAAAAATGAGGCGCCGTCTCATAATCGCATCTTTCGAAACAGAAACCGATAACAGACTTCAAAAATATCAATTTTCATTCATTTCAAATTTCAAATTCCAAAATTTTGATACTTCTTTAATAATTTCTTACAATAATCAAATTAAAAACTATCTTTAACCTGATTTCTTACAAACTAGATTAAAACAAGAAATATTCATAAATCATTTATTGTATTGTATAAAAAGTTATTTTTAATTAATAGAACCACATTAAAACTATTTAACTTTCATCTATTTTTTTATTCAATCAATTTTTACATAAAAGATACGTAACTTCTCTCTGTTTGCAATTTTTAAAAAATTGCAAAAATGAATTTATACTAAAACGAGAGCACAATAAAAATACAAATACAAACACAACACAAATAGTATAAAATACAACACAAATCTATTTTATCTACTAAGAAATCTGAAACCTATTATCTATAAATTTTCTGCACAAAACAAGATAACAATCGTCGCACGAATGACGCTGCGTACACAATTTTGAGAAGAATAAAATGGCGGACGTTGCGCAGAAGAACAGCATGTCGCATTCGGTATCGCGTTTCAAAATCTTCCTTCGAACAATTGTTACCAGTTCAATTTTTTAGGTAATTTCTGAATGAATTCGATAATCTTGTTCGTTCGGTTCGCTCGATAATTTTTCCCTCGGTATACTTGTGCTGACAGCAAAGAAGAGATGCGAGATTCTTCGCGTGCTTCTTGTGGCACTGCGAGGCGGAAGTAACAATCGGCTGAAACTCCGTATTAATACGGTCTTCGAGCGTCACAACGAAATCTATACTGTGTTAAATTGCAATTGCGTAATCATCGCAGGTGCCCGTGGACAATTACGAAGTAAATCATTGGTAAATAAATCAGTTATGTCACGCGACATTTTCGCGTTTAATGCTCTTTTAATTAAGCATTTCCCTGGTTGCGGTACGAATCAATGCTTGATCGTAAATGCATTGTAGATGCGGGAATATAGGATTAGCGACTTTTTGGGGATTTTGTGGGAAAATTTTGGGGTGATATTGAATTAGTTGATGGAGTTGTTAGTAGAAGTGATTTTGGAGTTTTCTGTTCTTGTTCTTAGGTATATTGTTTGATTGTGTTGTTTTAACAGTTGGGTAGCAGGTTGGAGATTTGGAAATGTGAGAATTTAGGGGTTTCTGAATTTAGAAATTTGGGGATTTGGGAGTTTGAGAATTTAGGGATTTGTGGATTTGTGGATTTGGGAAGTTAGGATCTTGAGGATTTTAGAGCTTGAGTAGTTAGGGATTTGTGAATTTGTAAATTTGGAGATGGGGGAATTTGAGAATTTGGGGATTTGTGGATTTGGGAATTTGAGAATTTAGGGGTTTCTGAATTTGGAAATTTGGGGATTTGGGAGTTTGAGAATTTAGGGATTTGTGGATTTGTGGATTTGAGAAGTTAGGATCTTGAGGATTTTAAAGCTTGAGTAGTTAGGGATTTGTGAATTTGTAAATTTGGAGATGGGGCAATTTGAGAATTTGGGGATTTGTGGATTTGGGAATTTGAGAATTTAGGGATTTGTGGATTTGAGAAATTGAGAAGTGAAGGCTTTGTGAATTTGAAGGTTTAAGGATTTGGAAATTTGAGAATCTAGGGATTTGTGGATTTGTGGATTTGAGAGGTTAGGATCTTGTGGATTTTAGAGCTTGAGTAATTAGGGATTTGTGAATTTGGAAATTTGAAGATGGGGAATTTGAGAATTTAGAGATTTGTGGATTTGTCAATTGGGAAACTTGAAGATTTGACACTTTAACAATTTGACAATTTGACGATTTGACAACGTGACAATTTAATAATTTGATAACATTCAAATTTGCAAGTTTAAAACTTTAATAATCTTTAAAACTTTTGAAAACTTACAAATCCGAAAATTTGCGAATTGGACATTTTGTACGTCTGCCACATTTGTATCTGACAACTTAGGTTTTCACAATATATTTCATTCCGGAATAACAGTAACAACATCATGTCAGCAAATTAGATATGAATAAATACCATATTGGTTCGATACGATATCACATGTACCATGTCATTTAAATAAGGAGCACTGATAAAGAGATTAATTTCGATAAGAATGTTTGCGAAATTTATTTTTGTTTCGCGAAAACTTTTCTAAGAATGCTTTGTGACTGACAAACAAAATTGATAGACACAGATATTCCAGCTTATTTCAAGATTATCTGTAAATTTTGCTGCACTGTCAATAAAACATAAAACAGAACCAGAAAGTAAATTCATTAGAATTTTTTAGAAATATAAAGGAATACTACTTTATATTATTTTATAATAGCAGTAAGTAATTAGCAATAATAGTAATATTATTCTTACTACATTATTAAAATGTGTACATACATACTACATATGTATACTGCATGTTACATATGTTATTAAGCTATCTGTATATATGTAAAATTTATTACATATGTTATTATAATATTACTACATATTCTATTACAATATTAGTACATAATTATTAAAATATATATATAAATACACATATGTATATTATTTGTTACATATGTTATTAAGATGTGTGTATACATGTATACTTGATTACATATGTTATTATAATATTACTATATATATCTTTAAGAAAGAAACGTATTTTATTGCAATATTACTACATATATTATTTAAAAATAGATATACATATATGTACTTATATGTACACATATGTGTGCATTTATCTGTGTGTGTCCATAATTCTTATGGATCTTAATATACGCGTACAGATGTATTCACCATAACGTCAGAGATTGACAAACTGCTAATAAATACTGAGATTCTTAGTAACCTTTAAACAATTACACAGGTCATAATGATAGATAACAGACTTATCATTGCTGCAGGAATTCTACGAAGTTTCTGCATAGAGACGTTGACGCATTTATCATAATCTTGACCCTGGATGCTTATTTTTTATTCATAATGTTTAACCAGACGTTTCTCGGTTAAATTTGCAAGTCACTTTCATTGTATGTTTATGGAGACTGTCTGCCACTGTTCTTTAATCATTTAGCGCATGTTAAACATCTCATTTATAATGTTCTTTCAATAGTTAGGATTTTAAATATTTCCAATATTTCAAATTTTCACTCTTTCATGCATTCAAAATTTTCTCTTAATTTTTTAAATTTAATTAATTAATGAATTTCTCTTAATTTAGAGAAATTAAGAGATTCAAAATTAAGATATTTTGAGTAAAAGAGTTTTTAACTTTAAAGGTTAAGAGGATAAATTTATTTAGAAAGGTTCCAGGTCTTTGACGGCTGGGTGTAGTCAAATATTTTGCGTGGACCTTTTCCCTTTTACCCGCAAGGGTCGATCCCTTTTTCCATCTGGTTTTCCCTAATGACCAAAGCTTAGAAAAATAGTCAGATTTTAGTAAGCGCTGGTGCGAGACATAACTCGCTTTCGAACTGACAAGTTTACGTTAAAGTAATAATTATTTATTACTAATTATTTTTTTTTTCTTTTTAATATATTCTTGTCCATTACATATTTTAATATTTTTCTACATCTCACGTTATTTTAAATAAGCAGTCAATTAAACGAGGTTCATCAATGAATTGCAAAAGATCCATTTCCTTCCTTGCAAGTATTTCTGTTTTTGTGTGTAGTCCTTGTAAAATGGTCATATAGCAAGATTTCACATAGCAAGTTGCAGTAATAAAATAATAATATTGCGAAGATGATATAAAATATATAATATTTAAATGTTACAGCGCAGTCGGAGGGATGAGCAAAGGTTGTGGAATATTTGGGATTTATCCCAGCTGGCTGCGGGATCGTGCCACTCCGAAAAATTTCATCGCTGTATATGGCCTTCTTGGCACAGTACAGGCGATGGCCTTCATCTACATAGTGGTCACTCTCACCACCTTGGAGAAAAGGTTCAAGATACCTAGTCGTACAACTGGTATGAACTTTTTCAGACTAATCAAAATTACATATCAATTTCAATAGAAATTAAAATTAAATACCAATGTTAATCAAAAGTAAAATTAAATACTAATGTTAATCAAAAGTAAAATTAAGTACCAATGTTAATCAAAAGTAAAATTAAGTAAAATTAATATCAAAGATGAATAAAATTGATGTAAATACCAATCAAACTTAAAATTAATATCAATGATCAAGAACAAAATAAAAATTAATTTGAATATCAATAAAAATTAGACTTGGTATTAGTATCAATTAAAATTGATATTAAATATCAATATAGAATAGTATTAAAATTAATGTGAGTATCAATTAATATTAGTATCAATATCAATATCAGTATCAATATTAGTATCAATATCAGTATCAATATCAGTATCAATATCAGTATCACTATCAGTATGAATATCAGTATCAATATCAGTATCAATATCAGTATCAATATCAGTATCAATATCAGTATCAATATCAGTATCAATATCAGTATCAATATCAGTATCAATATCAGTATCAATATCAGTATCAATATCAGTATCAATATCAGTATCAATATCAGTATCAATATCAGTATCAATATCAGTATCAATATCAGTATCAATATCAGTATCAATATCAGTATCAATATCAGTATCAATATCAGTATCAATATCAGTATCAATATCAGTATCAATATCAGTATCAATATCAGTATCAATATCAGTATCAATATCAGTATCAATATCAGTATCAATATCAGTATCAATATCAGTATCAATATCAGTATCAATATCAGTATCAATATCAGTATCAATATCAGTATCAATATCAGTATCAATATCAGTATCAATATCAGTATCAATATCAGTATCAATATCAGTATCAATATCAGTATCAATATCAATATCAAAATCAATCAAAGGTAGAAATAAATATCATTATCAACATCAATCAAAATTAGAATTAAATATCAATATCAATATCAAACACAAATGTAAATTTTGTTCAAAACTTAAACTAAATACCAACTAAAATTAATATCCAATATGAACATCGATCATAATTAGATTTATACATCGATATCGATAAAAATTAAAATTACCCATCAGTATCGACGAAACTTAATACTAAATATCGATCAAACATATCGAAAAAAACCTAAATTAAAAGTGAAACACCTAACCATCGAATCGAAACTTAAAACAAAAAAAAAGACTGCAACCAGTCGGAAAGTAAAATAAAAACGATTTTAGCGTGGAAAACAATGAAAAACATCAGGTGACGGATGAAAAGGTGGATTACCAACACGATAAGAACGAAAGATGCGGAAAACGATAAGAAACACGGAATAGTAGAACGTTTCGAGCTTCTTATTTTCACTAGGATTTCTCTTGTCACTGAAACTGGCTAATCAAGTGTCGTGACTCCGCCACGTTCAAGTACTTATGGTTGCGTTCCACGCGCATACACACATAATCGACCCCGACCAAAGATAGACCGTGTGTTCGTGTGCATTAGTCTAGTAGGTAAGTAGAGTGTCGCAATCATAGAAGTGAGAAATCTGTCGTTAGAGCAACGAGCGTTCAACATGCACTATGAAGACATACGGATGTACGTTCATACGAGTTTATTAGTTAGTCATAATATGACTTCGTAATACAGGGTGTCCCGCAACTGCTGGCGCGATAGTGTAGTCGGGGGTTTTCGGATTTTAGTATTATAGGAATTTTGGGATTTGGAGACATTTTTTATTTGGGGGGTTTTGGTAAGTGGGGATTTCGATGGTTGTAGATTCAGAAATTAGGAGGTTTTGGGGATTTTGGGATTTAGAGGTTGAGGATGTAGAGGTTTAGGGATTTAGGGATTTAGGGATTTAGGGATATAGGGATTTAGGGTGGGGATCAGGGATTTGGAGATTTGGGGATTTGGGGATTTGGGGATCAGGGATTTGGAGATTTGGGGATTTGGGGATTTGGGGATCAGGGATTTGGAGATTTGGGGATTTGGGGATTTGGGGATCAGGGATTTGGAGATTTGGGGATTTGGGGATTTGGGGATTTGGGGATCAGGGATTTGGAGATTTGGGGATTTGGGGATTTGGAGATTTAGGAATTTGGAGATTTGGGGGTTTCGAGATTTAGGGATTCAGGGATTTACGGATTTTGGGATCTTGGGATTTATGGATTTGGAAATCTGGAAATTTGGAGATTTAGAGATTTAGAGATTTGGAAATTTGGAAATTTGGAGATTTGGAAATTTGGAGACTTGGAGATTTGGAAATTGGAAGATGTGGAAATTGGAAGATTTGGAAATTGGAAGATGTGGAAATTGGAAGATTTGGAAATTGGAAGATGTGGAAATTGGAAGATTTAGAAATTGGAAGATTTGGAAATTGGAAGATTTAGAAATTGGAAGATGTGGAAATTGGAAGATTTAGAAATTAGAAGATTTAGAAATTGGAAGATTTGGAAATTGGAAGATGTGGAAATTGGAAGATTTGAAAATTGGAAGATGTCTAAATTGGAAGATTTGGAAACTTGCAAATTTCCAAATTTAAAAATACTTACATTTAAAAATTTATCCCTTTCATAATTTGTGATATTTATAAATTTTTCAATTTGATGTCTTAGTGATTTAAATACCAATTACACTTCATGACTTCATAATTTCACTCTTCTCATATATTACTCTTATACATATATTGCTCTATCAGTAATTGCTCATAAAACCCAAAAGTAATTAAAAATGAGCAAAATCAAAGCTACCACCAAATAAATAATTACAAATCTATTAAAATTGATAGATTACAATTTAATATAGGTGCGTTAACGATGAACTGACACATTAATGTTGCTTCAATCGAAACACTGTTTGCATCACGAACACACATAGGTGTTAATTACACGTTATATAGTGAGAAATCGATACAACCCTTCTATAGACGAGCGTATTACGTTCATTCGGGAACTTCGTGGTTTTGCGAGGTCGCTGTTATTATGAACATCGATTCGATCGATCGATACATTTTCGCATTCATTGGAATTTAATTATGGTACACGTGTTATGTTTCCTTAATTTCGATTTATTGTGCAAATTATTATTTAATGTTAATATTAACAATTTTATTGTGTAACATTGATATTAATTTTCTTATTTAACATTTGAGTGTTAATTTATTCTGCAAACATTTATTTAATATTAATATTAACAATCTTATTGTTTAACATTAATATTAACTATTTTTTTTTAACTGTATTATTTAACATTTGAGTGTTAATATTTTTTAATAAAACTTATTATTAGTTATATTTTTTAAATTGTATAATTAACCAGAGGTACATAAATGTTACTGTATGGGAAGAAATAAAAAATAATACTAATATTAATAATTTCATTGTTTAAGATTCTATTATTAAAATTCTGTAACAAGAATTATTATTAGTTACATTATTAAAATTGTATAATTATATGTCACATATGTAACATATGTTACTTCATAGAAACTAAAAATTAAAAATAAAAGGAATATAAATTCTGGGTCATTAAGAATGCGTACTCACAGTACGCAATTTTCATAAATTATACTAAATAAATATACTTGTACAATAACAAAATTTGATACTGCAATAATAATTATTAAACGTCAACCACAATTGTACATTACTAACAATCAACAATTTTAACGAGTTTCTGAAATAAATTGATTTCTGTCAAATTCATAAAAATGTCAACTCACCAAACTTGCCTGAACTTACAAAATTCTCTCGTTTACTGAAATTTAGTTTTGACGCTTTAATTGAATATTTCAAACATTGTTAAATAATTGAAGAATGACCAAATTATTTAACGATGAATGAATAGTGAAATCAAAACGATAAATTTCAGGATTAATTCTTTCCGGCAACGAGATCTCCCAAATCTTGTCACTGATACTGATCTACTATGGCGGTTCTGGTCATCGTCCAAGATGGATCGCAGTCGGTGTCGGCCTCAGCGCCATTTCCTGCTTGATCCTGGCGCTTCCACACTTTTTGTACGGTCCTGGAAGAGATGCATTGGCCTTGACGAAGGAGTACCTTGATCAAACTTTGTTAAACAGCAGCACAATCCCGAAGGATCTAGCGATTTGTCCACGAGACGTGAAACCGGAACACTGTGACGAAGAAACGTTGCTGGATGTCAGTTTGCTTCCTCGACTTTTGGTCTTCCTTTCTCAGTTTGTCCTTGGTATTGGTACCACTCTTTATTATGGCCTTGGGCAGACGTATCTTGATGATAATACTAAGAAGAAGAACACTCCAATGCTTTTGGGTAAATAGTTTTAACATTTTATTATAATTTATGATTTCTATTAGTTAATGTTGTCAGGTGGATTGCATTTAAATTTTTACAAAATTTTTTTATTGAAAAGAGTGAATAGATATTTTGGTAACAGTTGTTAATATTTTGGGACATTTACTGCGTCCAGATTTTCAGTTTCTATTAGTTAATATTGGATTGCATTCAAATTTTTAAAAAATTCTTCTTTGACGAAAAGAGTGAATAGAAATTTTAGGAACAGATGCTTTTATTTTACAGATACAGTTTTATTTTATTTTTACAGGTACTTTAGACAGCTTAATTGCGTCTAGACTTTTAGTTTCTAAATTGAATTAACAATGTGTGTTTTGAGAAATTCACTGACAAGTATCAAATAAAAACATTTGTCAAATATAATAAAATTCTCGGAACAAAAGTAAACATGTCTCCAGATTTAATCGATAACTTAGAATTCGATGTTTGCAAACTCTTGTATCATTTGTGTGTATCAAAAATGAGAGATAAAAAGGTGTATCCTAAGAACGATTTCGTAATAAGAAATATTGTTTCGTTATTTTTAATTAGGTCTAACATTCGCACTAAGAACAATTGGACCAGCAATAGGATTCTTGTTAGGCTACGGTTGCCTAAGTTTGTACATAGATCCAAGCTTAAATCCCGTGATCACCAAAAAGGATCCACGATGGCTGGGAGCATGGTGGCTTGGTTGGATTATTTTAGGTGTCGCAATGGGCATGTTTGCTATACTAATAGCCATGTTTCCACGAGATTTACCTCCAACAAAAACCACCATCGACACTGCCAAGAAGGTAAACCATTATTCAGTTGAGAAGTTACAAATTGTATTTTAATAAAGTATAATTATTATTATTTAATATTTGCAAGAATTTCTTGATGTAAAAGAAGTATGAAGTTTCACAGAAATTTTATTTTAATAAAATGTACGAGAATGGCATCTACTATTTTTATTTTACAAGAGGGGTTGAAAAGTAGTATCATCAAGATATTAAAAAGATAGAACACTTTTTAACCTAAAGACTAAGAGTTAATTTAATATTCAAAAATGTATAACATAAATCTCTATCTTCAATTATTTTTACTTTTCACGAGGGGTTGAAAAATGTCAGACTATGAATTTCAAGATATTACAAAGATGGAATGCTTTATTAAGAAAATGGAAAACGGAACATTTCTGAACCTAAATTAAATCATACTAAAAAAGAGTTCAAATACTCAACAAAAAAATATATACAAATCATTACACAAATATCATTTATAGCATTTACAGTCTCCTCATAAAAATCTGCAATTTATCTCAAAAAATCTTTCATACATTTTCTTCCAAAATTTGTTTACAATACATCAATTAAATATTTAATAAATCTTCTCCAGTATATTTATGCTCTGTTTATTTTTCAGGATGGTAGTATTCCGCTGAAACTGCACCTAACCGTGCAAGAGCAGTACATGAAACCGAGCGAGAAAAGAAAATCACTAGAGACTGAATACATTCCTACAATTCGTGAATTTCCAAAAGCCACGAAGAGGTTGTTAACAAACTGGCTATTAACGTTCAACAATTTAAGTGGAGTGTTTTACGTGTTAGGAGCATCGGCTTATATAACATTTTTAGCAAAGTATCTCGAAGTTCAGTACAGCACTTTTGCTGCTAATGGCACTGTGATTGCAGGTACGCCATTTTTTCAAATTACGTTTGCAAGATATTATCACTTTGCTACTTCTTACAGTAGTTAGTTAAAATTAAAAATATAATACACTTTTGTATGAAATTTTGTTTAAATTTTCGTTTGTGCCTGATGGGCTAAATTTACTCATGCAAAACAGCTGAAGTTAGAAAATAAGTAAATTTGTACTGTTTTGAAATTTTTTAAAATAAATGGGGCTTTATTAAAAATTATTTGAGTATGTAGTACAAACACAAAATTTGAAAATTAAAGAATTAAAAAATTGAGAATTAATATTTAAGAAATTTCTAAGATACCACAAGAACACTGTGACAGAAAATAAAAATAAAAAATGAAATAAGAAACTGAAATTTGAGAAAATAAAATCTGAAAAGATCAAAGTGTGTATGATTATTTGAATTTTAGGTCCAATATCGTTGATCGGTATGGTACTCGGATTTCTCCTATCAGGAATGGTGATTAGCAAGTTCAAACCCGGACCGAGGCCATTACTAGCATGGAACGTGTTCGTGGGAATCTGTTTTGTCGCTGGTCAAATAGTTTTCATATTTCTCGGCTGTTCCGACATTGGCATCAAGGGTCTTGACCCAGAAACCATGCAGTGAGTACGTCTTCTTTTTTTATCGAGGATCGAATTCATATAATTTCATGACGCATGAGAAATTTATAGTTGTATTTGAGAACTTTTGTAATTACCACCTTTCAAATTGCAATTGGCATTAGACATATCTGTGGTATAAATGGAAAGAAACTGTAGAATTGTAACGTAAAAATTTACATATGAATACGTGACACCAGCTGTCAAGGTGACAAGTTGCAGAGCCTAGAGCAGTGGTCCTCAACTGCGACGATAGATGAGACAGTGAACTTTCAAGTTTATGAATTTAGAGATTTGCTAATTTTTATAATTCTCAAATTACTGTGCCTTTATAATTGAAAATTTTTTTTAATTTCAAAGTCTGAGGTTTCTAAAATTTCTAGATTTTAAGTGTCCTAAATTTTTCAAGTTAAATCCACAAAAATTATATCTCAGCCCTCAACAAAATAAAATAAAAAAGAAAACTTACATCCATATTAATGATACATATCTGACTTCATCAACAACTGATGTTAACAATAATATTTCATCTTACTAACCTCTAATATTAGTAATAATATCTCACGTTATTAATATTTCATCTCAACAATAATTCACCCACCTCAAAAAAGATCTTTCCAAAAAGCAAAAATTTCCGATTACCAATATTACTTAATTCTCACGTATTCTTTCAGAATGAGTCTGACATCAAGCTGTAATTCCGCGTGCAACTGCGAGGGCGTCAAATACTCTCCGGTCTGTCACGTGCCATCAAAGACGACATTTTTCTCCGCCTGTCACGCAGGTTGTCGAACGATAATCAACGACAAGGAATTCGGGAACTGCAGTTGTCTCCCACTGAGTTCATCGAACCTCGTCTTCGACCATGACACCGTACAACCTCTGGTGCAGGATCAATTAATCCACTCGAATAATTTGCAAACGATGAATTACGACAAAGTCAGAGCCGGAATCTGCTCGAACGATTGCAGCGGGCCATATCTTTTATTCACCGTTCTCAGCTGCATCATACAAACTCTGGCATGTTCCGGGAAGATCGGCAATGTCCTGGTGAATTATCGCAGCGTCGACAAGAAGGATAAAAGTTTCGCCCAGGGTGTCACTTTGATGACCATCTCTCTGTTCGCGTTGATACCCGGACCAATTATTTATGGAGTCATCATCGATTCGACTTGTTTGATCTGGGAAGAGTCCTGCTGAACCAGAGCGAACTGCTGGTTCCATCATGGGAAGAATTTCAGATATTTAGTTAATGTAACGTCGGCGGGTGAGTTTTTATCAAAATTTATACCGATGTCGACACATGAGTTGGTGCGTGGAGAGATAGGTGTTTAGAAGAGCTACCTCAAACGCCAACTCGTGGGTTGACATAATGCACGCCGTGTACAGTATGTACAAGACGGAGTCTGACAATTTTAATATCGCCAGAACCGAATGACACAGGGGTAATCGACGCCGGGGGTGGGAGTCGAGGGGCAGAAAGGTGGAAGAGCAGAAGTACCATCGAAACAGGGGTTTCAGAGGCTAAATGGAGGCACTGCAGAAGCAAGGGTTAACTCAATATAGCTGTAAGTGAATTACTTATCGCGTACACCCTGTATACAGACTAGATGCGTTTAGCTATAGGTCACGGATACTCAGCGACGAGCCAGAGTTTCGTCGACAAGAATAAACACGTATCCCTTTTTTTCCCCTGTCAAACTTCATTTTTTTTTTTTCGAAAACCACGTTGATATCCCTTTGTACTGCGCTGATTCCATTACGACTAATCTTGTTACGAAACATCAACGTGACTTTTTATGCCGTTCTTTTCTGCGAAAAAATTAACCACGTTTCAAGACTTTGTCCACATTTTATCGATGGGTCAAAAACGTTTTAAACAGGTTTTGGTGGAAAAGCTCGACAAAGAGGTATTTTGGGTGAACGGAAATCGAAGAAAATGCAAATTCCAAAGGGTTATGCCCTTCGAGAGCCCTAGCAAGGTCTTCGAGTACTGTGATCTTTGATGGACGCCTGGTTGCTCAAGAAAATTCAGTTGGAACCAGAGGGAACTGCTGGTTCCATCATGGGAAGAATTTCAGATATTTAGTTAATGTAACGTCGGCGGGTGAGTTTTTATCAAAATTTATACCGATGTCGACACATGAGTTGGTGCGTGGAGAGATAGGTGTTTAGAAGAGCTACTGCAACACGCGCCAACTCGTGGGTTGACATATGTAGCTTGTATTGGCGAACGACACTGGCGGGCAGATTGGGAACTAATAAAAATGGCAGACACTTTTCGATGTTTTAATCTGCAGATTTTATTCATTTATCTGAGATGTACGTAAAGAGAGATATAGAATGAGGAATGCATAACTATTTTTGGTAGAATTGTATAATATACTAATCGTTCTTTACAAGCTTATTTAGTAATAAATTTTCTGTATTTTAATATTGAAAGTACGGGTGTCCGCCATCTTCTGTACACCAGCGAACTCTAGGTCTACTGGTATCTAGTATATTTTTAAATAATAAGTTTATATTTCTTTACCAATAATATTAAGTATATAATATTTCTTTTGCAATAATACTGAGTTCATAATATTTTTTCGAGGTTAACCTAATTTACGAAGCAACAAATTTATGTTTAATTTTAGTTTGAGGTATATAAAAAATATAAAGGAAGTAGAAAGGAAGAATTTGAAAAGTAGAAGCACAAATTTAAACTTGAAATAATTTTATTTGTATTTTTTTATGTATTTACAGAATATTTTTTTAATGATCGTGTTTCAATATTGCTAAAATTGAAATGATTTTCAGGATTTTCGATGATAGGAGTAATTTTCGATGCAGTGGTGTGTTATCTCGGGAAGAATTTAGATCTTTACGGTACCCAGGAGAACGACAGACGCCGTGAATTTATTAAAGAAGACTCCGTGCCACCATTAGTCGATAACGAGAAGAGGAGAGAAATGAACGGGAATGTAAATTAGAAAACGAACTGTAATCATTCCTATTAATTGTAAATCAAAATTAACTGACCACCGTCTGAAAATTTAGGAGTTTCAGAATGCTAATTAAATGTTGAATATAGAATGTTAATTAAAACTTTGAGATCGTTTAATCGTTTCGTAATTGATGAATTGTATCAACCCTTAGTTGCATGATTTTTACGATTTTGAACAATTTTGCATTTTTTTTATATGGGTAAAAAAATACTTTGTACATAAAAAATATCGAAACTAAAAATTTTTTTAAAAAATATTTTACGGACGAAACGTTTATGAAATACAATGCAAAAATAAAATACAAGAAAAGGTATTTAAAATGTAATATAGTAAAAGTAAATAAAAATAAATAAAAATAATATACTATTGCATTTGCATTTCAAGAAAGAAAATTTTAAAACCGATTGAGAAAAATGAGAAGGTTTTGCGATAACTTTGTTGATTAATGTTTATCAAAATCCAAGAATTTATAATTGATAATAAAGGTTGTTTATTAATGTTGCACAAAATGTGAGAATCTTATAGTATTTTATATTATGTATGTTTGCAATGGAATGCAACGAAGGGTAAATAAAAAGTAATTCAATGTTGAAATATTGACTTAAGAGACTGTGTAACTTTTGATTGTGAATTTGAAACATGTAATTACCGAACGTTAATTTCTTTGTAATTTACATTCCAAGTTGTTAAAATATTTACACGATTCCTATCTGTTTGTAAATAAAAGATATGTTTTTATTAAATCGTTGATATTGTGTGTTGTGTTTTTGAGTATTATTACGTGTTGCGTGTAGCATTCAATGCGATAAGTTTCCTTAAGGAAAATGGCGATTTAGGGAATGAAATAATTTTGGCATTTAGAGATTTTGTCTATCTTAAATTGTCTATCTGAAGATTTCAGTCATTTCAATATTTTAAAATTTGAGAATTTGAAGGATGAAAAAATTGAAAAATTGACAAATTAAAAAATTGAAAAATTGACACATTAAAAAATTGAACAATGGGCAAATTGAAAAATTGAAGAAATGAAAACTTGGAAACTTGAAAACTTAAAACCTTAATTTCCAACGTCCATTTACTACTTCAAACTATTTCAGTAGTTTCTTTTCCCTATATTGCCATTTTCACTAATCAACCTCACCGTGTTTCCTGATATATCAAAGTATTTCAATAGGAGCTGTTCCCCGAAAAGAGTCGATCGGACTGTTAATTCTACAATAAACACGATAAAAAGTAATAAGTCAGAAGCACTTTTACCGAATTGTTTAAAAACAAGTGAATTGTATTTTCTTATCGTTAACATTGAAAATACAGGATGGAATAATACAGCTCTTTCATAAATCTCAGATCTTTTACAAAACCCAGTTTATACATATTACAACGACAGGTCTAATTATCTGACAATATCTCCGTTAATATGAACAAGATGTTAGCGTTACATTATATTGCATTATATTGAAATGAAAATGTACATTAAAGAGATATCACGAGGAAATACAAGAAATATTATGATTAAAATATATGCAAATGTAATAGAGAAGATGTACGAATTAAAATATTTAAAAATATAATACAAGAAGTATCAAAATTAAAATATAGAAAATGATAAAATGAGAGATACCAAATTTAAAATATATTATAATGTTATAACACAAGGAATATAAAAATTAAAATATATGAGAATACAATAAAAAATCAAAACCAAAATATGTAAAAATATAAAAATTAAATACATTAAAACACAAGACATATTAAGTTTTAAAAAAGAAGACCTTACAGTAATGTAAGGGTTTAAGTCCTAAAGGTAATTTCAGTGTTCCACGTTGAATTCCAGCAAGAAGTCCTCAAGTAATCAAAAGGATACAACTCCCCGATTTTGAGAAAGGGAGCCTACCGTTCGAGAACCTTTTAATTTTTATGCTTAATCAGACTGAGCCAGAAGATTTGGTTGCTTAATGAATTCCACGACATCCTCGTGACGTCAGGATGTCTTTATCGATCGCATCCTTAGCTACGCTCCTGGAGGATGCGCTTTGGAATTACCGAAGGATTAAGTGCTTTGTTTTATTCCTCCTTAAATAAAGAAGAATGGTATCGCTGCTCGTCTTTTGTCTTGTCTTTTATCTTTTACACAATTCAATTCTTTGAGTTTTCAAGTTTTCAAGTTTTCAAGTTCTCAGGTTTTCAAGTTTTCAAGTTTTCAACTTTTCAAGTTTTCAGGTTTCCCAGTTTTCAAGTTCAAAAGTTTTCAAGTTTTCGAGTTTTCAAGTTTTCAAGTTTTCGAGTTTTCAAGTTTTCAAGTTTTCAAGTTTTCAAGTTTTCAATTCTTCAACTTTTCAATTCTTCAATTATTCAATATTTCAATTCTTCAACTTTTCAATTCTTCAATTATTCAATATTTCCATTTTTCAATTTTTCAATTTTTCAATTCTTCAATTCTACAATATTTCATATCTTCAATTTTTCAAGTCTTCAAGTCGTCAAGTCGTCAAGTCTTCAAGTCTTTAAGTTTGCAATTCTTACATTTTTCAATTCTTCAATTCTGCAATATTTCATGTCTTCAATTTTTCATTTTCTCAAATTTTCAAGTTTTCAAATTTTCAAGTCTTCAAGTTTTAAGTCTTCAAAGTCTTCAAGTTTGCAAATACTCAAATTAAAACATTTCCAAGTACAAAACTCAAAACTGCACAAAATGCACAAAACTGTATGACAAGCATTACAAACTGAAAATAATCAACCAATCATACAATCAACATACTAAATACTT